AGAGAGAGAGAGAGAGAGAGAGAGAGAGAGAGAGAGAGAGAGAGAGAGAGAGAGAGAGAGAGAGAGAGAGAGAGAGAGAAAATGATGAGCAACGCACTGGCGAACTGGCAAGCCTCCAACCCCGCGGATGGCCTCGCGCTCCTGCCCGGCTATGGAGGATGGCCGATGGAGGACTTCGATGAAGACGGCCGAGGCGTGAAGATGGCCGAGGGTCTTCGACTCTTTGATGACGACACCGGCAGGAGGACGAGGTGGAGGACACGAGTGAAGTGTCTGGCGGCCTGGGCGAGAGATCACCTCGCCCAGCGTTCGAATTCGAACGTTGGGACCAAAGAAAATTCCAGGCCTTGGCGCAGCCCCAAAAAAATTTGCGCGGGCCCGGTTTCATTTTTACAACAACCCCCCCTCTCACTTGCACCCGGCCCCCCGAATTTTTTTTTTCTTTTGTCTACCCTTAATTTAGGCCATGCGGCGCATGTCGTGCGCGTGCTGCTTGCGCGCCGCGCGATGCGGCGTACGTGCGCAAGTGCCGCCGCAAGTATGATGTGTACACATGCCGTGTGTTCTTTCTTGATTCAGAATTGTAGTGTTTCTTTTACTCAGCTGCTTCCAGTGGAGTTCGAACTCTGGACCCGGTCTGTATTTCAACAGTTCAGTTCAGGGGTGTACCAACTGAGCTCGGCCAGTGAATAACATAACATCATTATTAAGCTGTCATACTTAAACCGCCAGAACACGGCTCCAGCCTTGCTGAAAAAGAAACTCGTCACCTACGAAAATTTCGGAGGCTCGGCCTACCGGGGACCACAATGGCCGACATGTCCGGGCACCCGGGCGTGACGCCCGGGGGGGTCTGTTGAAGAATGCGGTATATAGCTAAGAAGTGTTTCACGCCCGGCTGCGCCTGTATGTCCGGCCACCCGGGCGTGACGCCCGGGGGGGTCTGATGCCCAGGGTACCCGGGCGTGTATCCGGGCACAAGTTGGGTGCCTGGGCGCCTGGAAAAACAATCTAGGTATATAGGCTATATTGCAGTCTTAGGAGGTTTCAAGTTTGCCTGTGAAAGGTGGTGGTGGTTTTAAGAAGAAAAAAATATATGGTAATGGTGTGCAGGTCTAGGCTACCAGCCGGGCAACCCGGGTCCCCCTGCTTTCCTGGGCCCCCCTGCTTTCCCGGGCGGCACTGCTGTGCAAGGACCAGGGAAGGCCGCAGCAAAAAAAAAAAAAAAAAAAAAAAAACGAACAAAAACTATGTTATGCAGAAAAATAAACTGAACAACGTTTGCCCCATAATCACATCGAAATTCCTTACCAGTAATACCAAATTTAAATTGGAAAATTAAATTAGAAATATTTGTAGTTTTTTGTTTTTTCAACTTTTTTTTTTTTTTTTTTTTTTTGCCCGGCAGGGGAAGTGGTCCCGGGCCACTCTGGTAGCCCAGGTGCAGATGCAGATGCAGATGCACTTAATCATGTAGAGTGTGGATGAATACTTGTAGGATGTGAATGAATCGATGAGAGAAAGGTGATATGTCGTTGAGCGCTTACGTGAAATGCCTAGGTGATATGTCGTTGAGCGCTTACGTGAAATGCCTCCGCTCTATGCATTACTTTACTTGGCGTGTGTTCATGGATGTACAGGTTCAGTCTTTGCTGATGCAGCTGTGCGATGAGACAAGTATTGCTGAGGTGAATCTGAAGGTAACTACACCGGACATGGGAAATGCGTTCCCGTGAAGGGAAAAAGAAGATGTTTATTGTGTGATTCAATAAATTTTGGTCCTTATCAACCGTTTATATGGAGAAAGACTTCGTTGTTTAGGAGAAATAGTAGATGATGAAATTGCCAATCAATGTCAGCCAGTGGTTTGTGCGTGTTGTACAGGTCAGAGGAAAAGGGCTCAGCAACTCAGAGTGAAGAAGAGTGGAGGCAAGCAAAGAATTGGACAGGATGAGAAAAGGGTGGTGATATGTGTTATAAACTCGGCCGCGGGGGTGGGTCACCTTGTTTGAAAGGGCTGCCGGGCCGGGCAAGGACCAGGGAAGGTCCCTGAAAAAGAAAAAAAAAGAAAAAAAAAAAACGAAAAAAAAAATATTGTGCAGAAAAATAAACTGACCGACTCAGGGTCGGGCGGAAGTTCTTTGCGAAACAAAACAAAAAAATAAATAAATAAATAAAATCGAATTAAACAAGTATTAAATATTTTTTTACTACTTTTTTTTAATTCAATTTTGGCCTGGCAGTGGTGAGTGGTCCCGGGCCACTCTGGAACCGGCCTTTGACTGGCTGTTAGGACTGGTCCGGTTCCAGTTGGGGGAGGGCGGCCCCGGTCCTGCCGGGTTTGCAGCACCGCTATATCCTAATTTCAAGGTAAGTATGGAGCTCTGTGGATTAATAGCTAAAGATAAGGATTCATTGTATTGTCACACTGACCGCCCAGCCTTCATCGGTTATGGGTTTGAACTTTGAAGGTACCGTCTTTGCCTGAATGGAATGGCCAGTCATTATAGCTGCATTTGGGGCAACTTCCAGTCTAGATATGACTATAGTGACCAGGCGTTGTGTTTGGGTGAAGATGTCGTAAACTGTTTTTGGCCGCTGGCGTGCATCTGGATTGCAATTTGGTACATGTAGCAGCTTAGCAGGTGTTATCTGCATACATCTGCAGGTGGCGATGGAGAGGGAAATTGCCGTGATTGTAGATAATTATAGCAGGCGTAATGTGCACACAGCTATAAGTGTTTATTGAATCGTGGACTTAAGTAGGAAAGCCTGCTGTTGGGTATCTCTGTGTCTGTGTTTTGTGGAATGTTCATGGCACTTGCACTGAAGCAGTCCCGCATATTCCCCAGCTAGAGTGTCATTCATTCATCGAAGTTTCTATGAACCGGTTCTCCAGCTCAGTCTATATTCTGACCGCGATTCGGGAAAAAAAACAAAGGAAAAAGAAGAATAAAAAAAAGAAAGCATGCAGTCATCAGCCGGCTGACAGCTTGTACCCTCTTTTTCTTTTATTGTTGTGGGGTGTACAGATGGGGGGGTTCCAATTGCATGTGCTCAGGGATGTGACCAATCTAGGAAGGTCAAGGAACACCGTTTCCGACGCTCGCATCGCTGCGCCGCATGTACCCGGGAAGCCCATGGTTGAAGCTATGACGACCCCAGCCTTGGCAAATGGTAAAGCACTTGCTGTTTCTGCTCCTCCAGCTCAAACCCGGCGCGCAAGTGACACAGAGGATGATGATGAAGTGGATGAGGGTCTCCTTCACGTCGTCTCTCCGAAGGTACGTGTGCTCTCTGTTAAAATCTCACGTGTTACGGGTTGAAGGGGAGCTAAGCTAGTTGAGGGAACTCTGTAGATGCCTCCTCCTCAGCGACTCTGTCAGAATGTACCTTGTGATGTATATCTCTGCTGCCGTCGATGTCTGTTCTGACGAAGAAATGGAAGTTCAGGCTGTATGGCAAGTTTTTTTAGGGTCCTGCAGGTCTCCTCATCAGAGAGACATCCACGGCGATTGCTCCTTCTGACATCCACGGCGATCCCTCCTTCTGGAGATAACATGGGTATTCTGTTTATTAACTTTCTTTTCCACACACTCGCCACTCACGTGTATGGTCTGCGGGAAACTTGTGCCTACTGTCTTCACCCGAATAGAACACCGGGTTATTGTAACCGTATACGGGCGAAATTTCTGTCCAGATACAGTGATAATGACAGGGTGTTCTATTCGGGTGAAGACGGTAGCCTGTATCCAGGTGAAACATGATTCTGTAACCTTCATTCGGGATCTTTCTGGTGAGGTATAACACTGGCAGCAAAGGTGGGGATCAAAACCCTGCATAGGGCGAGGAAAAGACTTCAAATTTTAAGTCCTTTGTTTGTTTTACTGGGATATCCAAGTCCTTGCCCCCCGTGTTGTCAGCTGCTCCTACCTTCTTCCCCTGAATAGAACGTACTGTCATTATGCCTGTATTTGGGCCAACTTTTAGTCTAGATACGGTGGTAATGGCGTTCTATTTTGGGGAAGATGGTAGGATGGCGGTGGGCGGGGGGGGGTTGTTAAGGGGGCATGTTCTCACCTTTGAAGGTATCCCTGCCTCGCTCACGGAGCAGTCAGCGAAAGAATTGCTTGGCATGCTCACCTCCTCATCATATTGAGAAGCTCCATGTTTTTGCACAGTCGCCCTGCATTTTGCGGTCATATACGAGGAGAGCACGTGGGGTAGACTATTATTGATCCGGCAGCGCTGTGGGCCGTCCAAAAGCACGGTTTCAACTTGAACTGTGGGTTTGCAATGGCCAAGCCCTGTAGTAAGGCTTTAAGGAAATTCTTGCTCTCTCTCTCTCTCTCTCTCTCTCTCTCTCTCTCTCTCTCTCTCTCTCTCTCTCTC